AGGCGAGTCTTTTTCTTAGGCCAATTGATTTTGAGCTTTGGGCTTGCCACACAAACTCTAATGCTTTAGTTAGAGAGGGAGAAAGAACAACGTAGCAAATTTAGGGTTTGAGAGTGAAAACTTAATGGTCCTTTAAGATACTTGAGATTATCTAGGGTTCATGATCTTCCTCTTGGATTGGAGACAAAAAGGTCGAACTAAGCCTATATGGTTCCCTCGGTCTCGGGGCCGTGCACAGTGCAACCCTAGAATAAAAAAGGCCACCTCAGCCTCGACTTAGTTGGTTAAGGTCAAGGTGGGCCCTTTTTAGCCCTTTATTATTTGTCCCGAAAGAGAAAATGGCCCTTCGGCTAAGTTATTCTAATTCGTGCGCTAGTTAGCCTCGACTTAGTTGGATCTAGGGCTCAATCCAACTTGATCATGTTCGATTTTTTCGATTCCTCATCCTAAATTCACTCATAACAGTACGTTCTAGTCCTGTAGTTTAACTTTTACGACAATATAATCTCCGTTCATTACATTACTCAAAGATCAAATATATTTATAAACTACAAAAATTCCGTGTAGAAGATAATCCCGGGAAATAAATGAAAGGAAATGCAAAATGTGGGCGATTGTAATGAAAATGAATGAGGAGCATTTAGATACCTCAAGAAGAAGCAAAAAAGAACAAAGATTACGACCACATTCAAACATGTTTTGTCCCTTTAAACTCTTCCACACCACACATTTCTTCTTGTCCCTTTTCTTCAATTGGCTGTTCGAATATGATCTCTCTTTTCTTATTTCATCACCTTTAGACCTCACCTTTCAATTCCTAGGGTTTTCTTTGCCCCTTTACGAGTTGACATTAGCCCCTTTCAATCCCTTTTTTCTTTTACGTGCTCGAGAGAGCATATTTCAAATAATTGTCGCTACATTTCTAGTAATTTTTGCACCTAATGCGTAGACGTAAAGTAAACAGTTCGGGAACATATGTAACAATCCAAACTCATTGCTAGCAAATATTGTCCATTCTTACCTATTATGTATCGTCATCAGTCTCACAGTTTTAAAAAGCGTCTATCATCAGGGAGATATTTCCACGCCCTCGTAAAAAATATTTTGTTCTCTTCTCCAACCAATATGAGATCTCACAACATACCGTTATCATCCTATTTTAAAAGAATAATTATATATTCTTAAAAAATGATATATATATATATATATATTTTGAAATGTTTGAAAAAAAATTCGATGAATTCGGAATATTAATTTGAATATATTCAAAGGGAGATATATATTGCAAGTACATGCACATGTAAAAATACATTATCCAAATTACTTAATTCATTTTTTAATATAATAATAATAATAATAATAATTAACGAAAATTAAAGAAAATGAAATTTATTTCAATGTCAAGGGTGGGTAATATTGTAAATTTCAAAAGAATAAAAATTTCCTTTTTAATAATAAAAAAAAGGTTTAAAATACTTTTTATAATTTATATTTAAAAAACAAAATCCTAATTTAATTTTTATTTCACAAAATATTTTATTAATTACAATAAAATAGTAATGAAAATGGCATCCAAAAAATAGGTTAAAAAACACGAACACACAAAAGACAAAGATTCCCACGTGTGGGGTTTGAAAAAGACTTTTATTATATTTTATTTTTTAAAAAGTATTTTGGAATTTTGTAAAATAAATGGATTCCCATATCTTATAATTAAATACCCTATAGATTTTTAAACAATGACTTTTTTTTTTCTAAAATATTTTGATTGTAAAATTCGTATCAATCATCAAATGTTAGGTTTTAATAATTAATTTCATTTTTTAAAATAGAATTAAAAGAAATCTTTTTAATTTCAGTTTTTATTATTTTTTATTAATTCGACACTCTGAACTAAAATTTTGTAGAATTTTGAATCAACGCTATAACAGTAACAGTCTAAGTCCACCGTTAGTAAATATTGTCCACTTTTGGCTCATTACGTATTGCCGTCAACCTCATGGGTTTAAAACGCATTTACTAGGGAGAAGTTTTTATACCGTTATAAGAAATGTTTCGTTCCCCTCTGCAATAGACCTTAAGATCTCATACTGATAATTATTATTTATATCAATAAGCTGTATTTTTCTTAGGGTGGCTAAATTCTAATAAATCTAAAATTAAGTTGTTTTGCTTAAAGTAATTTTACCGTGAGTGACCTCCTAGCAATTTTTTCTTGAAAACATTTGAGCAAGAACAAAACGAGCTAAAAAAACCTATGTTGGTCGATAATCTTTCAGACAAGTAGGTAATGTTTTCATATCGTCAAAGAATATTAAAATCATCGAATGCTAAATTTGGATTCTAAATCATGATTCGTTCATCGAGTCTAATAACATTTTCAATCTCGGAACTCAAGATCAAATTTTTTTTTTTTTTTTAATCCATTGATAAAATTACAAGACTTTTTGTGACCCCATTTCACATTAGGCTCCATATCCTTTAAAAATAATATTAAAAGGGAAAAAAAAAAAAAAAAAACATGGCATTAAAGTTTGTTCTTTTGCCATAGCTCACCTCTCCTAGTTCTTCTACCTAATTACTCTCTCTATATATAGATAGATATATACATACAACCCCTCCATTATTGTTCCTCAAAGCTTATAAACAAATTCGAGAGGATAAACAATGTCGGGCGTTTGGGTGTTCGACAACGGGGTAATCCGGCTCGTGGAGAGGGCAGGGGCAGTGGAGACGGGGGCAGGAGGGCGGAGAAAAGTTCTGATCTACACGCCGACGAACGAGGCGATGACATCATACTCAGTACTTAAAAACAAGCTTGCGTCGTTGGGCTGGGAAGTATACTACGAAGATTCCGAGGTTATGCAATTCCATAAGCCTTCTTCTGTGGATCTCATTTCTGTTCCCACAGACTTCAATAAGCTTAAGGCTAGACACTTATACGACATCGTTGTGAAGAATCGTAATGTTTTTCAAGTTAAGGACATGCAGTCCCAGTAATTGTTGCCACGACGTCGTTTCATCTCTCTTTGGTGTCATCTCTTTTTATGTAGTCTTTGTGTGTGTTTGAAGCATATGTAAATTTGTTGTTGAAATGGAAAATCATAAATTTAACGTAAAATATATTATCGTATTTGTTAAGGATATTTAGTAATAAATTATAGTTTATATATATTATATTTGATATTTTATTATATATTTGCATTATTAAATATTTTTCCATTTATTACTTTTTCTATATCTTTGTAATTTATTTGATTATAAATAAGATAACTTTCACATCATTTAAGTGTGGTGGATTAATTAAACATTCTTACATATCAACGATCTGATGACTACCCGTTAGAAGTTGATTTGAGAACGCTCGACTGGTTAAAATATCGTTAAAATACTCGTTGGAGAGAGGAACGAAACATTTATTATAAATATGTGAAAACTTTTTCTTGGTAGATGGGTTTTAAAACCGTGAGGCTGGTGACTATACGTAACAAGCTAAATGGATAATTTCTATTATTTTCGGTAACCCTCGAATAATTTCTAAATTTAAAATAAATTAAAACATTTAATTTTAATGCATGATAATATGAAATGGCTGCCATGCAATGCAGGATGAGAGAAGGCCAAAGAAAAATATCAATAAATAAATAAATAAAAAGGAGTTAACCATGGTAAGGGTAATTTGGTAATTGAGAAATGTGGGGTTAAGTGAACTGACAGGACACGTCCATGCATCACAGGCTGGTGACGATAAGAGGGGGACTCTGATGGGTCAACGGATAGCCCATATCCAGGCGAAGAATATCTATTTATTTATTTTATTTGCTCTAAGAAAATAATAATAATAATAATAAAAATAGATATTGAGAGAGAAATATTTAAGATTTACGTGCATGAGAGCATGGCTCAAAACCTATTCCCATTTGGATAAGGAAATGGAAATGGGCGCCAATGCTCCGTCTCATTGAGTAGTCGATCATAGTTATTAATTCAAAAGTTCTTTGACGTCTTTTATCAATCAGTGAATGTCAGACCCGAAAATCAAAGAAAGAATATATTATTCGCTAATGAACATCTACTTTGTGAGATCCCACGTAAGTTGGAGAGAGAAAAGAAATATTCTTTATAAGGGTGTTGAAACTTCTTTCTAGCAGACACGTTTAAAAGAAAAGTCTAAAAATGATAATATCTACTAGCGGTGGTCTTAGGTTGTTCATACCTTTTGTTTGTACGTGAATTTTTTGTTTGTTTGGATCTTCGAACGTCGAGTGAAATCCAATGCATTTTTTAAAAGGGTGTTTGAAAAAACGTCTTTTTGTTAGCGGGTAGGAGATGTTTCGTAAAATTAGGGAAATTAGTGATTTGTTCAACCCTTAACTCTTGTTACTAAGGTATATGAAGAGATGTCTATATAATAGGGCCACTCCACCCAAGCCCAGCGCTGTAGCTTAGAAAATGGAGCCAGCCCAACCCAAGAATTTAGAGCTTGGAGAGTCATGGCGCCACTCTCATGCTGTCCATCCATACACCCACGATAAGCCACGATATTGCATCGTAGTGCCACGAACGTGTGTCATAGCAATACGATGCTACCACGATTTTTAAGAACACGTCTTTTAGTTAATTTGTTAAAAGATTGATGAGATGCAGCGATATGAATAAAAAGAGAGTAGGAACGTTCATAAAAAAAAGGACAGAGACAAGAATAGAGAAGGCTATGATTATATTTGCTACTCACAACTAATTTTTTATGGGTTAAAAAAACTATATTATAATATTTAAATTTGAATTTTTAAAATTATGCGGGTAGAATAGTTTATTATAATATTTTACATTTTTTTGGGATAGAAATTATCAAAAAAAAAAAAAAAAATTATTCATTAATTTTTTTTAAAAAAATATATAATAAAATTTGTAATAATAAATAAATAAAAGGGGTCATTGTTAATTGAAAATAACTCATCTTGTCCGTACAGGTGACACAAGAAAGTGGTGAAGTGTGGCATTGGGTTTTGGTTCCAAATTCAAATCTTCGACAAACTCGTCCCCATTTCCTTTTAATTTTCCTCTCTTCTCTTTCCTCCATTTTTTGAATTTCGATTTCACCCATCCCCTTTGCGAAACCCTAATTGTCAGTTCAACAGATTCGATTCGATCCCTGCTTCTATGGCGGACGCCGACTCTTCCTCTCCCTCCGTCCCTGCCCCAGCTCCTCTATCAGCTGTGAGTTCCCTTCATTTTCTTCGTTTTCAGTTTCTATTTGTGCCTGATCTGTTCTTTTACGCATTTACTTACTCTGTCCTTGATGTTTGTATCTGTTCCTCTTTGTTCACAGAAAAATGAGAATCTAACTCCCATTGGATCGAAAATTTCGGTATTATTTTCTTGTCCCGACTTTTGAATTCTCGAGTTCATTAACTTGATTTGTGAATTTTACTGTTCGCTTCGATTGTAGGATAGTTGAGAACTAAATTGTTCGTTATTTTGGGTCTAGTGGTGATTTAACGAAGAGTCCATGTATTACTGAGATTGCTGCAATTTAGGTCTGATCTTCTGAGATTTGACATGTTTGATCTCAGGAATTGAACGAATCAAGAGCAGAGCTGCTTAATAGAATTCAATCGCTTAAGCAGGTGAAGTCTAGATTTACAATGCCCTAACTGTGAGGCTGATTAAGTTGTATGCTCTTGCTCATTTAGTTGTTTTTGTCCTCTGATTTTCTTAACTTTCCCTGTGTTTTGAGCATTTCAGGATCTTCAGAATTGGAGGTCAAAGCTAGACACGCAAGTTAATACCTACCGCAGTGTAAGTTAATAGTAGTGAATTTTGTATTGCTTGTTATCCCCCTCTTTATTCTATTCTATGTAGTCATGTATTTCTAGGATGTAACTTCACCAGCCAGCTTGTCCTGTTCTAAGATATTTGTGTTTGTGTGAGATCCCACATTGGTTGGAGAGGGGAACGAAACATTCCTTATAAGAGTGTGGAAACCTCTACTGAATGACACGTTTTAAATTTGTGAGGTTGGCGGCGATACGGAATGGTCCAAAGCGGACAATATCTGCTAGCAGTGGACTTGGGTTGCTACAAATGGTATCAGAGCTAGACACCGAGCGGTGTGCTAGTGAGGACGCTGGGCTCCAATGGGGTGGATTTTGAGATCCTACGTTGGTTGGAGGGGTACAAAGCATTCCTTATAAGAGTGTGGAAACCTCTTTCTAACAGATGCATTTTAGAACCGTGAGGCTGATGGCGATATGCAACGAGCCAAGACGGACAATATCTGCTAGTAGTGGACTTGGGCCGTTATAGTTTGATTGTTCTAACATGATCCATAAACCAGTTGGTCATCCAAGTGGCTTACTGTAATCAAATCTTGTGGCTCATACAGACAGCCGGCTACTGTATGCTAGACATGATGTTGGTTAACTGATTCTTGGTAGTTCAAAGAGATCTTAAGTCTGCTAATGATATATATCTTCAATGCCTCATACAGGAACTCTCCGAACTCAAGAAATCACTTAATGTTGAGGTCGAGCACCTTCGAACGGTAAGTAATGCTTCACAGATCGAATACATTTTTAAACTTTTTGATGCCATTTGGAAGGGTAATAAATTTGTAATATCAAAGTAGGAATTCCAAGAACTAAGGACTACCCTTCAGCAGCAACAAGAAGATGTGACTACCAGCCTGAGGAACTTGGGTGTAAGTTCTATATCTAACCATTTTCATACTCAAATATGCTGATAAGTTCTCTCGAAAGACCACCAACCCACCCCATACCACCATATATGTTGGCCACTATTGAATAAAACTACGTAACTTGGCAGCTTCAGGATGTTTCTGTGGACAATAATGAGACTCGACATCAACATCCAGCAGAAATCAGCGAGAAGGAAGATGCAGGCGAGGCAACGAAGGAAGGTTGTGGCTCGACGGAGGAAAAGGGGAATGAAGCTGGAAATTAAGAGGCACTTTGTAGCATGTAGGTTGTAAGTTTTTCATTCCATGATAAGATAACATTAGCAGCAGCTCTCTCGGCTATGGATTTCCACAATGTTCACTGTTTAAATTTCAATGCTTGTAATGGGTTTCTTTTCAACATTTCCCATTGAGGGTCTATGAGATTTCCCTTTAGCTCACTCTCTGGCTCTATCCTTCTCTCTAAACAACTTAAATTAATAATGATAGAAAATGCATTTTTGGTGGTCGAATTTTGAACTTAATTTCTATTTAGTGCTTTTGAACGCTTAAATTTTTCGTCATTGAGATTTGAATTTGGTCGTCGAAGTTCCACAAGTTGGATTCTCAAAATTTGAATTTGATTTCTCAAATTTGAAATCGATTTTAAAAGGGTTCGTTGATGTTAGCATTAGGTAGTTAATACATGCTTAGTAGAATTTATTGATATGTATATAATAGTAAATATAATACTTATCTCTATAATATTTTGAAAATGGTTCATATGATGATTGAAGATGGAATAATTTGAAGCTCTGAATTTTTCATTTACAAACAAACACACATGTCTAAAGTCCCATCTCTCAAGATAACCAGAAATTGAAACCTATTTCTCCACATAATTCAAACATAGACCACCAAAACTCCTAAGTTCATACAAACATCTTATCCAAATCTATGAACCAAAGGGGACCTCAGTGATTTAAAAAAGAAATCAAACTATGTTTACATCATTTAAAGCAACACATAATGTTTGCCATAGCTCTGTAAAACAAAACTATATACAAAAATCCAATAGAAGGAAGTTGGGAGCTGAGAAAGAGTGAAAGGGAAGGGAAATGAGAAACTGCAGATTTTGTAAGAGAGAGAAGAAGTAAATATGGTGCATACATAAGAATAAGATCAGATAATGAGAGCACCTACCACTTTAATGTCAACAAGACTTGGAACTGCTGCAACACAGAGAAAGCTAAGGGTCTTTGCTGTTTTCATCTACGTTGTTAATTGTGTTGTCCTTTTACCTTCACTTCTCTGTCAATCAAAGTTATGTTGCGTGGGGAAATGGGAGTGCTCTCTCTTCCCTTATTTGCAATTTTGCAAATAAGTTTACTTACTGTGGGGCTGTCTGAATCAAGTTGTCATCTTAACTACAAGCCTTTACTCAAGGATGATGATGATGCTTGGCCGCACGTCTACCTAAAGGTCATGGCCATTTTTGTTTAGAGAGAGAAGAGAAGAATGGTACTAACCAGGTCACATTATGTGGGTCATTCAATGCATAAGAGAGATAAGAAACAAATTTATTCTTTACGAAGCATTTGTTACTGATTCTAGGACTGGTAGCTAGGTTGTGACTACTCATCTAAAAACTTTTCATAGTATACTTTCAATTTTTTGAAATTTTTTGAAATTGTATAGATTATGAGCAAGTGCTTAAAAGTTCCATCAAGTACTTGAAAAGTCATTCAAAATAGGCCTTATGTTGGTGTGTTAGTTGTTTTTGTTACTACTTTTCCTAGTATTGTTCTAGGATTCACATTTGAAATCTTAATCGGTTTCAAAACCTGAAAACAGGTTACTTGATAAGAACAGCATTTTCTAGCATCTAAAATTTGGAGTTAAAAAAAAATGCTTGTAGGAAATAGACTACAAAGGCTAACGAACCTAACTTCAAAACTAAAATCTCTGTCAAAACCTAATAGAAAATGTAGGAGAAAAGGAATCTAGATGCCTGTGGCAAAGATCTCTCAATTTCCATAAAAGGAAAACCCTCATCGGACAAATCTTGGTATCCTTAATCCCTATTAACCATTCGTCATTAATGCCAGATAGAAGAGGAAGGGTTGCAACAAGGCAAGTTTGAATATACGGGCTGTGAATGAATGGAGGGGTCATCAATTGGGAGAAGATAATAGTATTATACATCGGGTGGAAAGAGAAAAATAACAATAAATCTTGAAATGTGCTACAGAGGAAGATTAAATAATGAGGTCAATCTAGATTAAAGAGGGAGTAGTTCAACAAATAAAAAAGACCATTTAATGCATGATGTTTTTAAATTTTAAAAGAGTTTCTGAGTTTCCAGGATATTTGTTGGGACAGAGTAAAACCTGGCAGCCTGCTTTTAAATTCCACTATAATTACGGGGAGAAAGCTAGGAAAGCTGCTACCCTTTTGTCATTTTCTTGATTGAGCAGTTCTCTTTACGAACTCTCTTCTTCAATATTATGTATATAACAATGCCATGGACTGATGGCTTGTCGACTTTATAGTTTCACTTTCAATCTCTCTTTCTGAACCAGAAGGTTTTTGGTGATTCATCTCTTTCTGAACTGGGACTTTCTCTCCAATGGCTGTAGTATGTTCTGAAGCAGCCTCACAACGACTCAGAGCACAGGTAAAATGCCTTCTCTTCCTAAGCAAGTTTTTAACTTTCTTTTAGTCGTTCTTCTCCTCAGGAATCTCTCAGCTCATCCCCTTCTTTCCTTTACAGGTTTGGGTCTTGAAAGTTTCTATTCACTGTGAAGGGTGCAAGAGGAAGGTTAAGAAGGTTCTTCAGAGCATTGATGGTACCATTTGATGTTGTTCACTTTAACTGTTTTCGGTTTCAAATGTGAGAAAATTAACCGACAGTCATGAACTAAACCATTATAATCAGCTGGAATGGAATTGTCAGTTTTCTTACGAGCCAAACATAGGAATAGGTACTTTTACAAGTGGCCCTTAGTCTAAATCTTTGGAAGTGATGACCTTCTTAATATTGTAGGTGTTTATACGACTATCATTGACTCAGACCAACAGAAAGTCACGGTCACTGGAAATGTTAGTCTTGAAAGGCTGACCAAGAGGTTGGCCAAAGCAGGTAAACATGCGGAAATATGGCCAGAAAAGCAAGGGGGAAAAGAGAAACAACTCATCAAGATGTTGGAGACTAACAAAGGAAACAGCCAAGAAAATGGAAGAAGTCCGGGTGCTAATAAAGCTTCAGCAAAGAAGGTTGGGTTTAAGGTAAGCCCTGTCGAGAACAAGCGTAAAGAACAGAATGAAAAGTCTAAGAATATTGAAAGCTCTTCCAGAAGGCCCTCGGCGGGGTCATCCGACTCCAAGGAGAATGCTATTGGACATGAGGGTTGTTCTCCAGACAAAGGTGGTGCAGGGAAAAGTGGTGAAAAGAAGGAAACAAAGGGGCAACCAGGCATTAGTGATAAATCAGGTTCAAACCACCAAAATGGACATGGGACACTCAATGTGGATCCAGATGTGGGCCACAAAAAGGCTAACCCACTGGCCCAACAAATATACACCGGTCCAAAAGGTTGTTTTGTCCCTCCACCTACTTTGGGGTTAAATTACAATGCGCCGCATTTAGGTAAAGGTCCTGAATTTCTTTACAATGTCCCACCGATTCCATCTTCATATTCAAATGATCAGACAGAAAATTACGAGGATCAAGCGAAGTCACAGGCCTACCTGGATTATTTTAGTGAAGAGAATGCCCATGGATGCTTCATCATGTGATCTACTAATATCCAGCCAATATCAAACCAAGGACAAAACAAGATGATTTGAAGTGCAGGTTTTAATGTTGTAAAACAGCTGAGGATGAGTATAGATGTACATGAGTGAGATCCTAAATGACAAGAAGGTTAACAAGTAGAAAAGTTTTGAAGGGTTGGGTGATTCTAATTTTTGGGTTAAAAGAACTTCAGGGTTAGTATGCTCTCTATCACGTGAAACTTTTTGCAGAAGCTATCTAATGACTCTGACTATTAAGTAATCTAGAAAAATATTCAATTTCAATTTCATCCCAAAAAGTAAATTGATTTGAAAATTTTCATCTTGAGATATTTTTTTTCTTGTTAGAACAAATCAATTTATATTACACCATGTACACTGTATATCCATACAGTATAATGCATTTTTGGTTACGCTTTCACTAACATTTTATTCTCCACTCAAATCCAAAACCCATCTGACATTAGCATCTAGAGCTAACTCGGCAAAAGGTAAATAGAGAAAATGACAAAAGAAATCAAAATAGTATGTAATTGCTAGAGTTTTTCCAGCATCTTGGACCCAAGCAATTCATAAGAAAACGATAATATTAGCATTCTCAGACCATTTTTGCCTAGTATTTTGTCCATCTTGGACCAACCAGTTTGCCAGTAAGTGTAATTTAGCAGCTATAACTAGTGAAAAGAGATGATGACAATTCCCTGTGATATTTACAGGCGAACTCAACAGGGGAGAAGGGAACCATAAACCATCACAATCACTAGGAAAGCCACATGTAAACAAAAGTCAATGCCTAAACCTGGAAATGTTCTTAGCAGTCAAGCCTTTGTGGGATCCAAAACTAAGTGAATATATCAAATAAGATGCAGAATCTTACAGACCCTACAAGAAGTCCACTAGTTTCATTTTTTTAACATGCACATTTAACTAAATGGAAGTGAAAAAACAAAACTACACTTTTTCAATATTAATATTGAAAAAGATAGTATAACGTTATCTTAGACATTGACCACAATGGAGAAGGAACAATGATATTGTGATTATTATTTCCGGTGATATCATTCAGACCCTAAGACAATCCTTCGAGGTTGGATCCAAACTTTAACTATTCTTCAATCTTTCAGCAAACCATCTCTAAGAACATGGAGACTTCACTATAATTAAAATGTATTTTATTGTAAAGGTACAAGAACCTGATTTGAGAACAAGAGGTTCATTGATCAGATTTTGAGATAAATAATGAAAAGAAATATAGGACCCTATCACAATCAATTGTCACTCACTCAGATAAATAAGGAATGACAACTACAACTACAGAGTACAAGTGTATAACTACGGAATAAAAATGAGCTAAAGCAAGCAAAAACAGCCAAATTTAAGCTTACATGCTAGTAGATGCCCTTGTGGTGCGCTGATTTGTTCCAAGGATGATTACAATAACAGTTACATCATCATGATATTTCCTTCTCCTGCCGGCTGGAATGGTAATTAATTCTTCCTTGCTAAAACCTATAAAACATAAATTTTTACATCATCAACACCGATGGATACAAATAGATAACTGAAATTGCAAATTATCAGCACAAAATTAGTCGACTTCTGAGCAAATTAATAAAACACCCCGTGTCTCATACCTTATTTATAGTTGATAAAGAAAATAAAAAAAATTTGGCGTATGGGTTTCAATAATACACAGGCTGACTTGTATACAAAGTTCAAGATGAGTCAAACTAGTACTAAAGGCTTCGTACTTATCTAAGCCTATAAAATGTACTGTGAAAGAAAATCGAATTAATCTATAAGAAAACCCATGATAAAATAAGCATTATAACAATACTAATTAAATTAAATTGAAAGTCGAAATAACATGAGTACAATGTCCCCAGCCGGCCAAATGGCAGATGTGAAGATCTGTGTTTTCACTGAACTTGTACTCGACGCCAGTATCCTTTAATATTGACTAGATTGTATAATATTAAAGGAAAGCTCTCCAAAAAAAGTATCCCAGGTGAAAACAGTTAGGAGGATATTATCTTACAGCAGCAAGGGTACTCCAAAGTCCAACCTCAACTTGTTCCCATAGTATTAGTCTTTTAGTCGGGAGTTAAATGATAGCAATAGACCCTAGTCTTCTATGTTCTCTTTCCCAATAGTGTCAAAAAAAATTTAATGTTATATCTTCTAACAAAGATTGGAGAATTCACCTTCTGTTGAAGGGAAAGCTCAACTTTAGATACATAAGAAGCTTCTGCCATAAAAAATTAACAACAAAACAAACTGAAAAGTCGACTTCAGCTAGCTGCTAAGAAAATCATATATGATTAAGTTCAACTCTCTAAATTAAACCATGGTCAACATACGACATTAAATGTAAGCATTAAAGTTTGTCCTTTTTTTTTTTTTTTTTCTCTTTTGTCGTGCATTCATGATAATATCATGCCAAAGATAAGTCAATAAAAAGAAAAAATTTACTTCCATAAATGTAATTTGGGAAACGATTCAAACATTTTACAGAAATCGATTTGGAGTTCACCTGCGCAATCAGCTGCTTTCAATAGGAGCTGCTCCAGTAAAAATTTTGCAGGATCACCGGTAGGGTTGCTCAAGATATATGAACGGACAAGGTTCACTGCTTCCTCATTGCCAAAAAAGTCAAACAAACCATCACTTCCAACTATAACAAAGCAATCTGATTTTGATATCCTATGGATAGACAATGCCGGTTGAGTGGAAACATAGGGAGGGCTTATTAGGCTAGGAACTCGAAGAATACCCATCAAAGCATCATTAAACTTTTTCTGCAGAGGAAATAAATTTATAATAATCAACTTATGATGGACTAAAATAATTTCCAGCAATACAGACTAGGTTACCTGCTTCACTCAGAAATGAATATCATTTTTAGTATAGATAACACATCAACTTCATTCTGAAAATTTATGTCCTATATACAATAAAGTAGTCATGCATATTGATTTTTTTGTCCAGAACATAAATGGACATGACAAAGCTATCCTAAAATATCAAGCAGGTATTACTGTTTAGCATGAATACTTAAGACAGCAATAAACAATTCAATTTAGTTTAGCAACCTGCATCCTTTATTATTATTATTATCTTTTTACAGAAGCAACCTGAATAATTACTAGCATATTTAGACAGTGCCTCTATTTTATTTATTAAATTCTATACACTACACAAACAGAGAATGATTTCGTGTTATATGAGATTATGGCCATACTGACATGCACGGAATGTATAACTGTAACCTACCGACTTCAAGTAGCCAACTCCAAAAGCACGAGTCACCTTTAGTTTTCCTTTAACTTTCCCACCGATAATGATTGTCGGATCATCAGGATGATCATGATGTAGCCATGCTCTTTCAAGTTCATTATCCACAGTGTGACTCTCAGTGAGCTGGACAGCTTTCAGTCCCCCATCTCCTCTCACGTCAAGGGTAGCTAGTACTGCTCTACTATCACCCAAATTTAGCGTGTATAAATCCTTTCCATGAAGAAGAACAACTAAAACACATGATCCAACAGAGACTAAATCAGGACGATCCTCCATTTCCTGTTCAACCATGTGCAGAAAATCATTCTCTGCTTGACTAAGAGCACGCTGGAGGCTATCAAGCACCCCATGCCTCAGAGGATAGTTAGTCATTCCTGCTTTGGCATATGAATGGTTCTCGAATACACTGTGGATATCTGAAGCATTATTACTATTGTTTTTCAAAGGAGAAAATCTTTCATGAGTAATGCTACCATCATCCAGAGGATGTGAATTATCCATCTCCAAACCGTCGGAGGCTTCATTCTTAGCTTCCCAATCTAGTAGGTTAAAATAAAATACGATGGTTTCATACAATGTGCCAGCAAGAAAATCAGCTGCATCTCTTCCATTAAAACCATCATAAATTCCACAAAATAGCCATCCATTTTCTTCAGAACAAACAGCTTGGACCCTGTCCTCACCGGCAGCTCCACCTGCCACTTGCACTTCCTTAACATTAAGGAAACCTTCACTTCCGGAAGGGGCACTCATGGATTTCGATAAGTATGAATCATAATCAGATGTTGGGGTAGATGGACTGCAACTTAAGTTTGACAGACTACTCTGCATCGACGTGGACAATATATCCAACCTTGAAAGAGTAGGTGATGAGGGAACCTTACGGAAGGAGTTAGGAGAGTCCCAAGTCGGAAGAATTTCTTCTCCTATTAACCCATTGCATATATTTGTGTTTGCTAGGGTAGCATTTGCACTCAAGGCAGCCCCAGATAAGCAAGAGAAACTGCTGATCCTTTGAAGTCCAGGCTGGATCTCAAACTTGTCGGAAACCTCACGGATTTCATCTATATTACCATTGCATTTATAACCAAAGCTAACTTCAAGTTCTCCCTCATGTTTTGTCGAAGCTTCGTGAAGCATAGTATATGACTGTTGCAACAAATACATTTCATTTTCAATGCTCGTTCATAATAAAAATGGAAAAGTTAGTTACTATGCAGCATTTTCAAATTTAGTCAGATATGAAAGGTCAAACTCGATTTCCTTTTCTATAGCACCAAATAAATTCAAACATAATTGAAATTTATACTTAAACAAACTGCAAACTGGGAGGGGCTCTGTAATGTATTAAACTCAGTATGTATAACATCAATCAATTGGCCAAGTTTTGATCATCTTTTGAGGGGTGCTAGTTTTCTTACTCCCTTTGGAGTTGTTGCTTTAGTTTGTTTGGGGCCACCAAGGAATGGAATAGGGATTGTCCCTCTGATTGATGAGATCATGATGAACTCTCTTTTTCAGGATAAAGGGAGAGTCTTGTGGCAGGCTTGTTGTTTCGCATTCTTGAGGGGAGTGTGGCTTGAGACAAATTGTAGGATTTTTAGAGGAGATGAGAGGTTTATAGAGAAAGTGTAGGAGGGCGTTAGATTTAATGCGTCTTTATGGACATACCGTTAATCGGAATTTTTGAAATTACTAGTTGGGTATCATTCTTTTGGATTTGAGTCATTTCTTGTAGTTCAGGACTCTTTTTGTAGGGTTATTTTTCTATGCCTTGCACATGCTTTCATTTTTTCACAATGAAAGCTTAGTTCCTTACCCATAAAAGGAAAAAGAAAATCAATCAATTGGCTGAAAATTGAAGTGTGCATCATTGCTATCGTGTTCAACTTATAGAAAATAAAAATCCACATTCCGGTTTCCTTTAGCTCTCTTTCATATTCAATTAGCCTAGCCCTCAGGAATCCGACTAAAACCAGTTATGATTACTAAAATATATGTTACCTTACCTAACCTTTCCTTTCCTTTGACGAACTAAATTTAACCATGCAAAGAAAAAAACCAAACAATGAAACAATAGCACAGTTCCGGAAACTACATGAGCAAGACAACTAAATACGAAGTGCTATTTCAGTGACAAATCTGGAACAGTCACAAGAACAATTAAATTCTCAACTTCAATCACGGTCACTGACAGACAGACGAACGGATTAGCTATGAACTTGAAACAAAAAGAAAAGAGGCAAAATAGACTAATCAAACTCACAGAAACTAACAGCATAGTGACAGTACAAAACAGATAACCATCGCATAAGGGAGAAACAAATCCTCTATATATATATATATATATATATATATATTCAAAGACAGAAAACAGAAAAACCTTCAAACCATAAAACAGCCGAGAATCAACCAAACAAACCAATTCAGACAAGAACAAAAAACAACACCCTAATTCAACACGCCGCGCAGCCGCCACAAAAACCAGAACACACGCTACAATAAACAAAACAAAATAAAACAATTCAACATACACACTTGCAAATAAACATTGCAACAAGCCAGCCGCCGGTATCGGCATCGATCATTAAAACGTCATTATCAAGCACACAGAAACAGAAACAGAGATGGCTGAAAATTGAAAGAAACAAGAGAAAAAACAAAAGAAAAAGAGAGAAGAAACTCACCCGAAGAGGAGGGAATCGAAGCAGATGAAGATCAAAAGAAATGAAAAGAAGAAGAAGTGAAGATAGACGAAATATGCATCTGTATCAGAGTGGAAGCAAAGACAAAAATGGAGAATCTGTAATCAAAGTGGTACATTAAAGGCAAACCCATTGGATGGCCACCAAGACGTTCCCCTAAATTTAGACTATTTTTAATATTCCGCTTTTTGTTTAATATTATTAAATATCTTATTATAACTGATTTTTGTTTTTCGTTTTAATATTTTAATTTCATATTTTTCGTTTAATTAAAATTATAGATTTTTATAACTAAATCTGTATAAACCATTTTTTATTAGTTTAAAAACTGGTCAAATATATATATATATATATTTTTTAATTATAAGATTTTGAATTTTAAACTTAGATAAATATATATATAATATTTCATATTATAAACTCATTTTTTTTATTTTTTGTTACATTAAACTATACTGGATGATATTGTAAAATAATAATTATATAAAATACATTTGATTGAGATTCAACCTAACTCTTAATTAAAATTATAGAAGAGAATGTCAAATATGTTGATATTGGGCCCACTAAATTACATTTAAATCAAGGGGCAAATTTGGAATGGTATGGCTTTTCAGTCACGGAAAGAACAATTAGTTTAATATAACAAAAATTAAAAAGATAAATCCTAATGAAATTCTAAGAATTTAAAAAATAAAAATAAATATTTTCTTCCCTCTTTAATTTTTTTTTTAATGAATAAAAATGGAGGATTTAAAACTAGTGATAGTTAGAAGTGACCAATTTTAAAATTTATTTATTTTGTAGTCTATAAGTAAACATTAATTATTAATTTTTAGTATGAGACATAACTTTCATGGTAAATTTAATAAATAATATAAATATAAATCTTATACACCATTTTTATAAGGATTTTCTATACACCTTTTATAAATATAAATATTTGGAGTTTCATTATTGAGTCAGTGACTCAAATAACTTATCGTTCACAATTCAATACTCTATTTTTCCGTCCTCAAATTCATTTGTAACCGTTAAAAAAAACCATATCTATTCACCATAAACGGTCACATTAATAACTAAAACATAATTTACTACTATCTATTATAATTAAATGTGTTAATCTAACAAAAAAAAAAAAAAAAAAATCTCACCTGCAAACTGTTGAAACTAATAATAGCTAATAATAGAATTTGAATTAGCAGAGAAGAAGAAGGTGAATTCAAATTCATCCACAAAAATCTCAACCAATTCCGAGAATCCCCTATAAAAGGACCTCCCTCCCCATCACTCAAATCACTCCTCCTCTCAATCTCAATTCAGTTTTCTGTTGTCACCAACAACTGGTATCAGAGCAATCTTGCAGCAGCAAAAATGGCAGCAGAAAAACAAGTTGACCTCTCAATCTCAATTCAGTTTTCTGTTGTCACCAACAACTGGTATCAGAGCAATCTTGCAGCAGCAAAAATGGCAGCAGAAAAACAAGTTGAGAACTACGTTCAGCCCGCCATCCCGAGGTTCGACGGTCACTATGATCATTGGGCGATGTTGATGGAAAATTTTCTCAGATCAAAGGAGTTCTTTGATATGGTGGAAACAGGTTATGAAGAGCCAAATGAAGGCGAGGTACTCTCAGCTGATCGACAACAACTGTTGACAGCATCGAAGTTGAAGGACCTGAAGGTCAAGAACTATTTATTTCAGTCTATTGATAGGACTATCTTGGAAACAATGCTTCAGAAGAAGACATCCAAGGAAATTTGGGACTCTATGAGGAGGAAGTATCAAGGCTCAACGAGAGTAAAACGTGCTCAACTACAGGCAGTTAGGAGAGACTTTGAAATTCTCCAAATGCAAAAGGGAGAAACAGTGAATGATTATATTGGCAAGGTTATAAGTCTTGCAAGTAAAATGAGGATGCATGGTGGTTCAATCACAGATGTTGCGGTCGTAGAAAAGATTTTGCGATCACTAACACCAAAGTTCGATTACATTGTATGTTCTATCGAAGAAGCAAACAATGTCGAGGAAATGCAAATAGATGAACTCCAAAGCTCCTTGTTAGTACATGAGCAGAGACTCAATCGTACAAGTGCAATAGAGGAGATGACAACCTTAAAGATATCCACACCAAGTGAAACTTCAAGCTCTAGAGGTAGAGGACAAAGAAGAGGCAGAGGTCGTGAGAGAGGCAGTCGAGAAAGAAGTGGAGATGTTGGCAGATCAGCAGACCTAGTCAGAAACGATTATGACAACAAAGGCAAGAGACACTTTGACAAGTCTAAGGTGGAATGTTACAGATGTGGACGCCTTGGACATTACAAAAATGAATGCTATACCAGGCTCCAAAAGAAGAAAAGAAATCAATCAAATTTTGTGGAGAGAAGAGAAGAAGAAACATTATTAATGTCATTCCATGCTATAAAGGTTGCAGATCAAGGTGTATGGGTCGTAGACTCTGGATGCAGCAATCATATGACAGGTTGTAAGGAATTCTTCTCAACTTTAGATGAAAATTTTCATAATACGGTCTCTCTTGACAACAATTCATCTCTCCAAGTGATGGGGAAAGGAACCGTAGATATCAAGACTCAACGACAGAAGCAGAATTTGTGGCAGCAGCAGCATGCTCGTGCCAAGCAATTTGGTTAAGAAAAATGCTTGAAATTCTTAATCAGAAGCAACCAAGTACGACGGTTATATATTGTGATAATATGTCTGTCAACTATTAAGTTGTCTAAAAATCCTGTGTTGCATGAAAGGAGCAAGCACATCGATGTTCGATTTCATTTCTTGCGTGATCTGTGTAAAGAAGGCATTATTGAACTCAACTTTTGTCGAAGTGATGAACAAATCGCAGACCTATTCACAAAGCCCTTGAAACAACCATTGTTCGAGAAGCTCAGAAGAAAGATGGGGATATGCAGAATCCAAGATGTATATCAAGAAGATGAAGTGAAGTCCTAAACTGATTTCCGCAGAATTCAGTTTAAGGGAGGGTGTTGAAACTAATAATAGCTAATAATAGAATTTGAATTAGTTACGGAAGAGAAGGAGGAGGTGAATTCAAATTCATCCACAAAATCATCTACAAAAATCTCCACAAAAATCTCAACCAATTCCGAGAATCCCCTATAAAAGGACCTCCCTCCCCATCACTCAAATCACTCCTCTCAATCTCAATTCAGTTTTCTGTTGTCACCAACACAAACTATTAGAATTTCTTGTTTTCCAAACATTCGACCCAACAAAAAAAAAACTAACACGGTTTGAGTTGAATAGTCCAAATTAGTATACCCGCTACATTTTCATGGCCCATGTACCGACTCAGAAGTAGTTGAGTTTGCATTTGAAGAAACTATATAACTACGAGGGGGGTTGAAATTTGTATCTTTACCCTTGAAAACTTTGATATAGGGATGAACCAGAATAGCACAATCTTCTAAATCTTCTATTGTTGATGCACTTCAAGTTCTTCTTCTGCCAGAGCCGATCCACTGCACTGTCACCATCTCCCTACACAATATAAAAGAAAGCACCACAAGTATGTAAGAGAACAATTTTTGTTTGTCGGCCCAATGATTATGAGGAACCAAATAAAGAACATGAAAACTGAAGATTATGACAAACTGATATGGGGCCAGAGATAGTACAAGCGGTGATAGGAAGCGCATCATTCTCACATCATAGGGATTCATTGAACTTTATAGCAAGATTCAAGACAGCTGCACGAAAAATAACTGGCAGCATCAATGTCATATCCAAAGGACAGAAAAATTTTGAGCAATGACTGATTATCCTTGCAACAATGGCTGCTCTCACCGTTTAAGAGGAAGCTAGGACAAAGGCAGATCACAAAAAGACCACATGAGACTCAATTTTTGTGAGGTTTCACATCGATTGGGGAGAGGAACAAAGCATTCATTCAATTAGGCCTTGCAGACGCGTTTTAAAAACTTTGAAGGGAAGCCAGAAAGGAAAAGCCCAAAGAAGACTATATCTATTGGTAGTGGGATTGGACTGTTACAAATGATATTAGAACCAGACACCGAGTGATGTGCCAGCGAGAAGGCTGAGCCCCGAAGGGGGTGGACATGAGGCAGTGTACCAACAAGGACGCTAGCCCCAAAGGGGGAGTGGACTGGTGGGGGGTCGATTGGAGAAGGCTGAACCCTGAAGGGGGTGGACATGAGGCAGTGTACCAGCAAGGACGCTGGCCCCAAAGGGAGAGTGGACTGGTGGGGGGTCGATTGGAGAAGGGAAGCGTGCCAGCGAGGACACTGGACCCCGAAGGGAGGTGGATTGTGGGATCCCATATCAATTGGGGAGAAAAACAAAGTTTTATAAGAGTGTGAAAATCTCTCTGTAGTAGACGCATTTTAAAAATTTTAAAAGAATAGAACAATATCGGCTAGCAATGGGTTTGACCATTACAATTTTACAGGCTTCTACCCATGCCTCTCATCTTCTTTTAGTGCATTTTGATTATTTTCTATAGAATGTAGTTTAGCATGTTCAAAACTTCTTTACTTTAGCTATGATTTAGTCTAACTATAAATCTGCTGTATTCTTAGTCAAATTAGCTTCAATTAGGACAGCAGCTTATAAACTAAGTGCTTCACAATGTAACAGGAAACAACAATCACAGATGAATGAATGAATAAACGTGTTTGTTGTTGTATATAAAAACACAGCCAGCAGAAGAAGAATAAGCCATGCTCAATAGTCAATTGCATACCCTTTCTCTAAGAGAACTAAGATCAAACACCGACGGATGAAATCATAAGCAAGTTCAGTTCAATGGACTTAAAAATACCTAAACAATCCTGAGTCGAAGTAAACTAATATGTATTGTTCCAAGTCAATGATCGAATGGATTACAGATTAGACCGCATCCTACCGCTACAAATCCAACAATAATGAGAAGCAAAGGACAATCACCTGGGCCTGAAGGAAACCACAGAGAGCAAAAGTGGAAAACTGGCCGGTGTAGATGCCATTTTCATCCAAATGCCAAATGTCGATTCGTTGCGGAACTGCATCAACGACACAATAAGCCATGAATAAAGTACAATCCACATGAAACTTAGCGACAGAATCATCGGAAGCTAGATGATAATAATAAGATTACGAACCATTTAGCCCTGTGATTTTACCCTCCTCGTTCTGCATCTTGATAAGCGTATGAACTAATTGTTAAAGAATTAGAAAACCTGCGACCCGATCTATGTTTCGTAAGAACACATACAATTGCGATTTCCGATTCTGCCGTCTGGTAATGGAGGGAAAATCGATTCAAATTTGCAAGGAAAAAGAGGAAAAGATTCTTAAGAATACAGAGAGAAATCCAACCACTGCGAGGAAAACTAGCGATCCAAAAAAGGAAGGGCTTCTGAAGAAAGGATCAAATTTGAAACAGGTAGAGGGTACATAGCCTAGTTGGGTTGGATTGAAAGATGCTTTTACTCTTGTCAACTCAATCGAACCCTAAAAAATTTTCACAAACCAACCGAACCCTCTACCTGTCCCTTCACTAGTATTACCATCCATTATTGTTATTGAGTTATTCAAACGCAGTAAACAAAGACGAAAGCGAAACTCTTTGACGGAATATATAATTTCTTGCTACGGAGCGCGTAAAGGAGTTGTGGTCACACGAGGATCTCTACGTACTTGTCTAGTCCAGGACAAGATCTTCCGATCTGCGTGCGTGGGAGCAGCTCAAACAAAGAAGAGTCAGGTCTGAGCTACATACAAGTATAGCCAAAGAAAGATGAGACGGGACAGACGGTCAGAGGCTGCAGCGGGACTACCATAGGAAAGCCCGCCCCCTCTAGAACTGTAAAGAAAGCAGAATGCAGCTCTCTCTTTTCGTCAGGTTACGGTTCAGGACAGTTAAAGAAAAGAGAACGAATGAATTTCATATGCGAGTGAAGGAGCGGATCAGCCAGCTCCCATTCTTATACATGTCATAAGACGTCCACAACAAAAAAAAATTGTAATATCTTAACCTTTGGAATGGATTACTCTAAAAAGTAAAGAAAATATAAGGAAATGATAGATCATTAAAATAAAAAACAATAAAAATAATTAGTTTAAAATACCATCCTTATCTAAAAAATATTGTAAAAATATTTTGCTTACATTGAAATAGATTTACTATTATCATTATACCAGGTTCGAGGTCCTAAATGGCAGATAATAAATATATTATAATTTAGAACCACAAAAAAAAAAATTAAATTTATTGAAATTAACTTTTTATTCAACCATTATGGTTTAAAATTACTCAAATACAGGAATATTAAACACTATATGCGTTTAAAATAAATATAAGTATAAATCATATTCAATAACCTATCATAAACCAGATGGTTATATCTTAGAACAGAATTTGGATTTATTTCAATTCTATTACATCAGTCATTCAAGAAAATTACTACTTTTGAATTGCATTTCTACGAAAAGCTATCAAGTTCTTCGTCTCTATACTCTGTAATGTTTCTTTTCTGGCTTTTTTCAGTATCTTGCTTGTTCCTCCGAGGTAGCTTCGTTTATTATTGTTTGCAGATGAAACTTGACAAACTTTTGTGTGTACTTTTGGCTTCTTCAAAACCTTACTCGACGGCGATATCTCACATATCTTTACTTGACGGCTCTGTTTTCGAGCTTTTTCATTTTGGCAGTTTCGTATATATCGTTTCTCAACTTCTACCGCCTTATCTTCTAATTCTTTTATCTTCAGCTCGTACATTTGCTTCCATCTGAACGATTCCTTATGCTTCATCCTATCAACAACACAGTTGACATCATCCTTACCGAACTTTCTTTCGTAGAAAGTTTTCCATAATTTGTTTGTTATGGGAGTGAGGTCTCTTCCTTTCGAACAGTTCTCTATATGCATTAGTTGGTCGACGGTGCAATGCGGCAAAATATGTTCAAGGAAATTTAGATCGGTTTGGCCAACATCTCCAAGAAATCTCAAGCTGTCTATGGCTTTGTTTACTTGTTCAGACATTGTTTGGCAGACTCAAGAGGGCACGGGTTTAGCCCTAGTTTAAGTTTGAAGTAGATGACTAAAGCTTATACACTATCCTCCTTTTATAGTTATATTCTATTTTGCGGTTAGAATTTCAAACCGTAACTTAAAATATTTATATATCTAAAATTATCTAAATCTACATTCTTACTATTTTTAAATTATTTTTAAAATATTTAAATATATTCATTCTTACTAAAACATCTAAAATATGGTGATAGAATTATTTAATTTAATTCAATTTTTTTTCTTTTTTTAATTTTAATTTCATTTTATTCTTATAATTAAGTATAAATATCAAAATTCAACCCCTAAATTTAAATTTTAATATTTTATAAATACTTTATTACAGTAAATATTTAAAACAAAATAATCTTACGCAACTCCAAACTGCCAAATGGCATGTTGAAAATGAAGCTATCAACCACTTGGCTTTGACTTTGACTTTAGTTGGATCCCACAAATTCACAGCTGGCACTCACACGTCATTTGCCACATAACCATGTGAAATTAATAAATGTATCCCAAATAAAATCACATCTCTTTTTTTATAGAAATAATTTAATTAATTTACAGCTGGCACTTCTTATCATTCCATATTAATCTATAAATTTTCATCTTTATTTCATTTCAATTTTATTTTAAAATTTGTTTTATTTTCCAAATTTTGCAATAAAAAATATTTTTTCCGTTCAGAAATTATATAATAAAATTTAGTTTTAAAATATAAAATATAAAAGTCATGATTCACGTAAAGGAAGAAATAATTACTAAAAAGAAAATAAAATGTTAAAAAAGGAAAAGTAAAGTAATAATAATAATAATAATTATTATAATAATAATATAAAGGTGGGTCCCACAAGATAGGCAAAATCCTTGATAATTACGAAATTGCCATGGAGAAGCAAAAAAGAAGGCGAAAAACAATGTCTGAATACAAGGAAGCGCATTCTTTGTAAATCGCGTTGTTCTCTTCAGACTTTCTCTTCCTTCTTCCACCGACTCCGAGAAACCCTCTTCTTTGTCGATCCTTTGTTCTTTGCATTTCAGATCGAAATTAAAATCCAGTTTCAATTTCAAATCCATATCCGAATCTCCATTGCCATTTACATTCCAGATTGATTTTGAATTCTTCTGCTGTTTCTGTTCAAGGTTCTCATCTCGGAATCTGAGAAGATGATCGAGCGCATTCTCGGCCCCATCCGTCTCCGCCGGATCCAGAGGGCCTTCCGCCACAGCGCCGTCACTGTTCTTTGTCTCTTCCTCACTGTCGTTGTCCTCCGCGGTACTGTCGGTGCCGGTAAGTTCGGCACTCCCGAGCAGGACTTCAAGGAGATCCGCGACCATTTCTCCTCTCGCGGTCGTCGCGTTGAGCCTCGCCGTGTTCTTGAAGAGGTCCAGCCGGAGACTACTGACAAGCCGGCTGACCAGTCCAACAATTACGCCACGTTCGATATTTCGAAGATTTTGGTGGATGAAGGTGAGGATGAGAAGCCCGATCCGAGTAAACCCTACAGTCTCGGTCCTAAAATATCCGATTGGGATCAACAGCGAGCTCAATGGCTGAAGAACAACCCTGATTTCCCTAATTTCATTGGACCTAATAAGCCCCGAGTTCTTTTGGTTACTGGATCCTCCCCAAAGCCCTGTGAGAATCCTGTTGGTGACCATTACCTTCTGAAATCGATTAAGAACAAGATCGATTATTGTAGGCTCCATGGGATTGAGATTTTTTACAATATGGCGCTTCTTGATGCTGAAATGGCTGGTTTCTGGGCTAAGCTTCCATTGATTAGGAAGCTTTTGCTGTCCCACCCGGAGGTTGAGTTCCTATGGTGGATGGACAGTGATGCTATGTTCACTGATATGGCTTTTGAGGTTCCATGGGAAAGGTATAAGGATCATAACTTTGTGATGCACGGATGGAATGAGATGATTTATGATCAGAAGAATTGGATTGGGCTGAACACCGGAAGTTTTCTTCTGAGGAATTGCCAATGGTCGCTGGACATTCTCGATGCCTGGGCGCCAATGGGGCCGAAGGGCAAGATTAGAGATGAAGCTGGGAAGATCCTGACCAGAGAGCTGAAGGGCAGACCAGTTTTCGAAGCTGATGATCAGTCAGCTATGGTTTATCTGCTGGCAACTCAAAGAGATCAATGGGGGAACAAAGTATACCTTGAGAATGGGTACTATCTACACGGATATTGGGGCATTCTGGTTGATCGATATGAGGAGATGATCGAGAATCACCATCCGGGGCTTGGCGATCACCGATGGCCTCTCGTCACCCATTTCGTCGGGTGCAAGCCGTGCGGGAAGTTCGGAGATTACCCAGTAGAAAGATGCCTGAAACAAATGGACAGAGCATACAACTTTGGGGACAATCAGATTCTACAAATCTACGGCTTTACACACAAATCACTGGCCAGTAGGAGAGTGAAGCGGGTTAGGAACGAAACGAGCAATCCGTTGGAGGTGAAGGATGAACTCGGGTTGCTTCATCCAGCATTCAAAGCTGTGAAGGTATCATCATCTTCTTGATAGCCATTATAATACAGTGTTCAAAATCGTATGGTTTTGGTATTTATTTATCAGTTACTAATAATGTGGGAGATTTGTAAACTTTTTTTGGGTTCAAAATCTGCGTTTTTGATGTCTAAATTTCATTGATTTTTAGAAGGCTTTCTTCTTCTTTGTAATGGAAAATCTGAGAGATTATCTGTTTTTTTTTCTTCTTTTCTTTTTTTGGGTTAAAAGCATTATCTAATTTTGAGTTACAATAAAGTCTAAATTTCGTTAATTCTCCTATTTGTGTAATAAAAATTCATTACCAATCTTTTAGGAGGAACACAATAAAACCCAACTCTGTAATTAATGCTCATGATTAATAGGGGACTAATTGAAGAATTTTGAAGTTAGAAACCTCAAGCTTTGAATAAAGAGAAATAAAATTAGGGCACTTTTTAAGTTAATATAAATCAAATAATGTTTTTTAATTATTGAGGTTCATGTCCAAATTAATTTGGGCTTTATTTCTACTTCCAAATATTAAATTTACAGCTTTGCCATAACATGGACAAAGATTAAAATAAAATGTTCTTTAGAAAATAATTATTCGATCAGGCTTTGTTCAATTCTTCAGCTGAAAATCTACCGAACTGTTCAGCTCAGCTGCATAATCTCAGTCTGAGCCTACTAAAAAATGTATCATAATTAATGTCATCAGTGAAATTTAATAGAAAATAATATACAACACCATCTCAAAAATGGAGACACCTTCAGGAATCTCAGCTGACTGCCGCCATAGCTGGTTCTGGGTGGCTAGCAACGACATCGAAACACCGCTTGCAGAGAGTTGGATGTTCTGGGAACGACCCGACTCGTAACGAAAAGTTCCAACAT